TCCTTGCACTTGCTCATCCGTCATGTCTGCGCTTCCCCACACCTTGTTCTAGAAAAAACACAAAAAAACAAATACAAATAATGGTGAATCTGTAACCTCATTTTACTAAAATTTATTTGTTTGCATAATTCCATCACACAAGCACGTCCATTCTTATTCGTGTTACATATTAAGTTACTTTCATTTTATTATTTCAAAAATTTTACATGTGAGAAAAAAACACATATCACTTTACGAATTTCCTCAACTCTACTTGTTCACTTTTCATCATTTATGACTCTGATTTACCCTGGAATACTCAACTCTCCTTGTTCACTTTCCACAATTTATAATTTTGCTTTACCTTGGCGAATTGATATTACGTTTACTGAAGACAATCCGATATTTGAAGTTGAAGAGAAGTCGTCAAGAATGATACTATTCACTAAATGTTAAGTCGATCCGCTGAATGTGCAATAAGATGATTCTATATGACCTGTAAATTCTATTAAATCTCTTCTGAATGACAACTTCCAATAGTGACACAAAAACCTAGCACCAATATGTGTCGCTATTGGGAGATTAAACTTTGTATAACATATTGTTTGAAACTAATACATTACCTAACATTCAATCTTTATTAGCAAGAATGTTGGTATGTTTATCAACCAACATTCATTGAGACGCTAATTATTCTTTGAGAAGCTTATTGTCCAAAGATGTAGCAATAATATGTAATCCACAATATATTAACTCTATTTTCATCTTGGATAAACTTTAATTTGGTTCAAAATCATCAAAAATTACAAAAGATGGTTAGAAATTTATCTCTTTGTAAGATGCAAATCTATCTCATTGTTGCACATACATTAAATTTTTTTAACTATCAAAACGTATTGATGAGATCTTTAATTAATTTTCACATTGATTCATATGATATATATGAATGATTAATGAATTAAATACTCTAATTTGTGATATTTATGAACTCAAATCTATCTTTTGAATATTTTATCAAACTCAAATCTTTCACGATTAGATATCAAAATAAAAAGTGTAGTTGATGCTAATAAATTATCAGATTTTTTTTGTTTGTAATACATTTTTTGCAATTTTGATACATGAAAATACAAAATACAAAATTTATATTTCATGAATTTTTATTTTATTATTTATTCATCAACAAGTTTCAATATCACATGAGCTAAATTTTGATGTTATTTGAAAAAAAAAAATCTTGTTAGATTTCAAATAACTCTTCAAAATTTTAAAAAACATGTTATATTTATCAATTTTAAGTTATTAACACTTTTCTACTAACATTTGATGTAAAATTTCATGAATAGATTCCAGAAAAACTTGAACTTTGATATTTTGATTAAAAATTAACATTTTTCTAAACGAATTGTAACATTTGATAAAATATAGATTGAATATTGAACATAACATAGAATGAAAACATTTTTTAAATGCAACACCAATATTGTTATATGCAAAGTCTAATAGAGTTAAAATAATATCTCAATCCAATTTGTTGTCAACGTGAATTTTTGTAGCACTTTGTACATAAATTTATCACTTCTATATATTTGATCATCAAGATGTTGTTAGTTTTATTTGAAAAAACAAATACAAATTAGTAAAATAAATAGTACATTCTGTCATGAAAACATTATTTAAATCATGATTGACATTTGATACAGTTGAGTGAGTTGTACAGCTAATTTTAATTATATGATGTATCTGATGTGAATCATTTTATCAATTTGTTCACAACAATTTTCATCAGAGTATTTTTCTTGTGAAAATTTGAAAATTCATCAAAGAAATTCATTGTGATATGAATAATTTTTGTTTAAAATTTGAAATAACTTGTAATAAATCAAATCATTTTTCATTACTTGTTTTGTTTTATTAACAAGCTAAACAAGTTTGAAAATAAATCTTCACAACATATCAGCATATTTTCTTGTTAAATGCTTTTCAAGGTTTTTTATTACTCCCACATGATTTCTATATGTTGTTTGTGAAACCATTAATTCTAAATCCTCTTCATCTTTTCATACTTCTTTGTGATTACATATTATATGGTTTCATCAAGCAGCTTGTATTTCATCTTTACACTATATTAAAGACTTTACATTTTTATGACATAATCTGCAAACTATTTCTTGTATTTCACGTACAAAAAGTTCATTTGAAGTGCTAACACCAATCTACTTGTCAAATTGTTATTTAGACATATTCATCTAAGTTTTGAAGATTTTAAGATTTTATTTTTGATTCTGTCATAAATTTCTGGCCATCCAAATTATCCTTTTAATATTTTAGCTTCTTTATTAATTTTTAACCTAATGACTAGTTTTGTGTGTTTTGTTTTGTGGTAATTTTATTTAAGTAACATCAACTTTGAAGAAAATTAGCAACTAAATGTTGATCATAATACCATATTGGTTGAAATATACCATACATTGTTGTATCATGTCAATAGCTAACTTGTTGGGTCAACTAAAATCATACCATTTTATAATAGATGAATTTAACAAAAAAAAATTTGAATGCTTGAAGATCTAAAATTTGAGGTCTATTCTATTTTAATTGTTTTTTTACCCAACAAAGATGTTACAGTGTGACAAAGACAAGAAAAATGTTTTATAAATCTACAATACAATAGGATAAATTGTAAAAAACTTTTGAGGTGATTTTGACTTTTGATATTATATAATTTTATTTTTTTAATTTTTTCATTCATATTTTTTATTATTTTAAATTCTTTTAAAAATCCAATTAATCTACTTTTGACCTATGTGAAACACTGGCATATATTTTATTTTTCAAAAGAGCTAAAATTATTTTTTTAATCATGCCTATGATCGTTTAAGAATAATATTGAAATTTCATCTAAAAATTATAATTAAAAAATAGATTAAAATTGCATTATTCATCAAAATCATGAATATAACATATGAATTAATAACTCAAAAAATCATCATTATATAATAAAAATAATAAGCATAGATGAAAATAATTTTACCCATAATTTAAATTTATAGCTGGTTCTGATATTAAAATTAATAAAGCACTTTTTACCTTAAATTTGATAAAAAAATATTTTTATGAAATAATTGATATTAATTTTCCATCTTTATTGATCTAATCAATGCATAATCTCATCTTCACAAATAACACTAATGAAAGTAATGTAATATCTTTTTAGAATAAATCAACTGTTCAACATTTATTTCATTTGAGCTTTGCATTCTACTAATTCATTTGAAACCAAATTATATTGTGTTTTGCAAGTTTATATTTTTTATTTATCACAATCATTTTATGATCCACACGACTCTTTAATGAAAAATTTGCGTGTTAATCATTTAGAACCAAATCTTTAAATTCCAAATAAAATTGTTCAAGAAAGTCCCAAATATAATGTTCAATTGAAGATACATGCTTAGTATGATAATTATAGATTTTGCTATAAATGTTTTTATGCAATTTCTTATATAAATTTGGAATAGAGGTTAAATTATTTGAAAAGTGGTTGTAGAATAAGGTGACTACTTCATGTAGGCAAACAAAGACATTTCAGTAACTATTTAAAAAAAAACTTTATTGAATTATTTTTGAAAAAAACTGCACAAGCAATTTATATACAATGATATGTAAAAGTTACGTCATTCTTTAATCCATGAATTTTGTAGTAGCATTGTGTGACATTGTACACTAAGAGAGAATTTCATCCAAAGATGACATATTAATTTTTTAGATCTGTAGAATGGTTATATTCTTCTTTACATATATATCGATTTTGATTTATTTATCTTTTGATAGAGTGATGATTATTAGAATGTAAAAAAATATTAGATCAATTAATTATACAATCAATAAATTGCATATCTTTTCCACATGTCAGACAAAAATGTACTAATTTCAGTCGATCATAATTTAAGTTATAATCTCATATCTAATGATTAATACAAGATAAGAAATCGAATTATTGATAATTTATTACTAAAAATATTCATTTTCTTAATTAAAATATTTCTAATTTTCCAAATTTTAAAATACAAATAATGAAAATTTGAAACTTGATTAAGTTTCAATTGCAATTTATGAAGGTATTTTACTGACTAGTAGTTATGACTTGTTTTTCAAAGATGGATATCACAAATAATCATATATTTGTTTTATATATTATTATGCATAATGTATATCACAAAAACAAAAATTTGACTTCTACCTGGTTGATGCTATCAAATCTGAACAATCCATGTTAATCATTACATTCTTTTATCACTTTCATATCATCTACTTATATTATTACGAAGGTCATTAATGCTTTTATTTACGGTTTTTTTTCTTGAATGTGATGTATATATAACATGACATCTATTTATTTATTAAAAAATTTTGATATTTATCATGTAATGATACATGGATGTGAAACTAAAATCACAAGACTTTACATTTTTTCACCACAAATTTAATCAAATCTGAATGTTGCATCTTTGAGTGTTGAATTTTTTAAGTAAACATCTTAAATTAAATATGATAATATACAATCCATCAAGGAGTGTGATATAATGTTTTTTAATACAATAGAATGCTTTAATATATGATTTCATTTGCACAGATCCAAAATGAACATACATTGATTATTACATAATGAAAATATTTTTAAAAGTTACATACAATTAAAAATTAGTCTCTTCACCAAGAGGAAATTTTTTGATTTGTACGTCAGAAAAGTCAGGGGTAGTCAAATCATTATAAAAGTTTAATGCTCAATGTTTGAACAGATATGCTGACATTTTTTTCAGTACCTATTAATTAGTACTGCAAACACCTTCAAAGAGGAGATCTTCTTTGATGTATATCGTAAAGGCCTGAGAATAATAGAACATAAAATACCAAATGATATATAACTCCCTACAATGATGTATATTCCGTATCTTAATTAAAACCATCATTTAAGTAATTCTGCAAATGTTTCTTTACAATGAGAGCGGCATTTTTTCGACTTCAAACATTCCAGACCAGTTTGGCGGGGAATGAAACCTTCTGCAGAGCTGGACGAGTTAATGCCGTCGTTCCTGGTTGCAAGCGTACACTTGGCATTGGAATATACGCGACATTCATGATCTTCATCCCCTGAAGCTCAGCACCAAATTACGGGCTTGATCGAATTCGACAAGCTCTTGCTTGCATCGTGTTTTCTCAAACTATGAACATAATAATTTTGCCGCGCAAAATTCTAGCGCGGCCCGCGACGTCGATGAGATTTGGATACGAATGAGCAATCGGTCCTTGTATGATGTTCCCGAGCTCGAACCAGTTGGACGACAGTGATAATTCAATTACGATACCCTCTACATCATCGGATTTCTTAATTTCCAGCTTCTGCAGAGTGTCTCAGCCAGGTATATAGGGTAAGTGAGCCGATGCATTCTTAAAAGGTGTGATTCGAACATGAGGATTCTCGTTTGGAGTTTAGGAGAAGAAATTTGTGAAGTTGAGAGATTCTGTCTACTGAGGGATCAATTTTTTCACCGTATGACAGATTTTTTCGGATAGAATGGAGCTTCCCTCACCGCCGAAGCCTCCGGTGGAGCCTGCTCCGATCAGACGGCTAGACGTTGCAGTGGTGAACAGAATAGCTGCTGGTGAAGTCATTCAACGACCCGCTTCAGCTTTGAAGGAACTTCTGGAGAATAGCTTGGACGCAGGGGCGACAAATATCAATGTTATCGTGAAGGATGGGGGACTGAAGCTCATACAAATTTCGGATAATGGGCATGGGATTCGTGTGAGTTCGTTATAGAAAGTTAGAGTATCATTCTATCTTCAAAGTTAGATGTATGAATTGAAAAAAAATTTCTTATCAGCTCATGATTTTTGCTGTATCTGAGCAGAGAATGCATTCTCGTTTATACTGCGCTTGCTTGCCTTGATCGGCGTCCGTCTTTATCTAAATTATTCAAATATCACCTCAAGTATCATCTCTTACATTTAAATCTCTTGTATTCGAGCTTTGCAGTACGAAGATCTGCCATTACTCTGCGAAAGACATACAACATCCAAACTTCGAGATTATGATGATCTTCAGAGTATCAACACTCTCGGTTTTCGAGGAGAGGCTCTCGCTAGCATGACTTTTGTTGCACATTTGTCTGTTACAACAATGACTGCCGGGAAAACTCACGGCTACAAGTAAGTACAATTTCATACAGGTCTTTACCTTTTTGATTCAGGTTTGTAATCCTAGCAATTATATCCTGTATCCATATTGCTCTGGACCTTTTGGTATACCACAAGCTAATTTTCCTGCACGGAATAGAAAAAGGAGAAGGCTTTCAAACGCTTTTAACCATCTAGATGGAGGTCTCTCCGCACGAGAGTGCCTCAAATCGTTTGGTATTTTCAGTTTTCGCTAGGCCGTATGCTTTTGATACTTCCAGTTCTAGCCTCGATACAATAGACCATGTCTTAGAGTTGGACTTTCGGGACTTGGCGGATTCTCCTAGCGGAAATAAATTTGGAAACTACATGACTTAAAGATTGATTTATTTCATTAATTTTTGGTGAATGTTTTCACCAAAATTAGCTTTTTTCTCCATAGTGGCCTCCATACTAAGCAGATGCCTCAAACTCACGTCTTCTACAGCATTTGAACTGCTGAAGAGTTCAAATTGTTTATGTTTCGTTGGTGCAGGGTATCGTATAAAGATGGTGTCATGGAGGGTGATCCACGGCCTTGTGCTGCAGTCAAGGGTACGCAAATATTGGTGAGCTCTTAGGAAAGTTCTCCTTATGCGTGTACTGTCAAGTTTCTTCTTTCAGAATGTTGACAGGTTCGACTGAAACAAGGTTCGAACAGTTGTTATTCACGCTCTTCATTCAAGTTTGTGAGCCTGATTTCTCCATTCCGCCTGATTATTTACCAGGTTGAGAATCTTTTCTACAATGTTGTCGCAAGGAAGAAGGCATTCAAGAACCCAAGTGAAGAGTATGGGCGTATAGTGGATGTGATCAGTAGATACGCTATCCATAGGACAGGAGCTAGTTTTTCTTGCAAAAAGGTACTATCGTCTTTCTTATTTACCAGCCTCTAGAGCTTTTGTGTACATTTATCATGAGGATGATTCCTTCTCGAATGGACTGTTCCCGTTAATACAATTAAGTTTACTCGTCTCGGAAGAACCCCTCTTTGTACAGGAGAAGCACTTATATTAAAAACAATATCACAGGATCTGCCTGTTGCTTTGGTGCTCAAAACACCTGCCAGACACCTTCTATTGCTTGTCTAATCTTCTTTCTTCGAATCTTCTTCAGCATGGTGACAGCCGGGCAGATGTGTACACAGTGGTGTCGTCGTCTCGCTTAGATGCCATAAGATCTGTGTATGGTCCAGGGGTGGCCCGTGACTTGATTGCGGTAACAGCTTCAAGTGATGACGAAACTAGTTCAACTTTTAAAATGGATGGCTTCATTTCATCTGCCAATTATAGTGCCAAAAAGACTGTCATGGTCCTTTTTATCAATGGTAATATTTTCCCGATTCAAGCATAGTATAAAATTGGCTGAACCTTATCATGTTCGATCCGCTTTAAGGATTCGTCACAAGGATGCGCTTAGACTAGAAGGATAGGATGCAACCAACTCGCTATTCTGTTACATACAAGGTATGCCTTGTCTTGGAAGGCTAGGCATGAATGAAGCTTCATGACAAGGTCTTTCTCACAATTTATTTCCTTATTTGAGCAGACAGGCTTGTTGAATGTGCGCCGTTGAAGAAGGCCATTGAAGTGGTATACACAACTATATTGCCGAAGGCATCGAAACCTTTTCTCTATGTATCAATAATAATCCCACCAGCACATGTGGATGTTAATGTCCACCCTACGAAAAGAGAGGTACCTTAAATGTCTAAGTTCCAGATTAGAATTAGACCTGTAAATGCTTGACATGTAACAGTCTTAGTTAGTATCCAACGACTAGTTATTGATATGTCAAAACATTATTGCTCTGAAAATGCAGGTCAGTTTCCTCAATCAAGAAAATCTGGTGGACACCATTCAAAGAGTTGTAGAGGCCAAACTATTGGATTCCAATAACTCAAGGACATTCTATACCCAGGTGCACACCCTCGGAGATCCTGTTACCGATTCTTAGCATAAAATGCTGTATCAATATGCTAACAACGAGAATGTCCAGAGCATGATTTTCCTTTTATGACTTGAATGTTCACGGTCGAAGTTATCTCAAGCAATCCAAAGAGAACGTCTAAATTCACGGGTTTTGAACAGGTTGAAAGCAAGATGAAGTGTTTCATCACTGACCATCATCTGTCAACAAAACATGGAGACCTTTAGCACTTTCTTCAGCAGAGTACCTTGATGGCGATTAGAAGAGCCATGCTATCTAGAGTGAATTTGCAGCATAGCTATTTTCATCTGACATCTAACCACCCGCATTGGTACGCTATCTTCTCGTGGATTTAGATGTTAGTATAGTGAAAGAGACATTCGGCGTTTCTTCGAAGGACATCTACTGCAAGAATACGAGTACAATTGCAATGTTCTAAAAATGCCAGTTTTTGTTTTAGACATATCACTCAGCGATTTCAGATGATCTGATATCGCTTATTAGTGATGACTCCTTTCGACTTTGTTGTTCAAATCCATTCATCAAATCGAGGCTTATAATCTAACGTGTTTTGTATGTGCAGACTTTAATTCCAGGAGCGTCGACCACAGTTGCTAAAGAGAAAGAAGCCACACCTACACCTTCAAGTAAGTAGATTCTTCATAGAAAGACATTGGGTGAGCACCATGGGACAATGCAGTTGAGTTATGATATGAAGAGTTTTGAGAGTCATCTGGAACCTCCGCACGTACTTCACCTTATTGGACACTTAACTACATCCGACATGTCCTCTCTTCCTCCGCTCATATCTCTACCCCCTTTTCTCTCTATTACTGCCACAATCATAATCACTGTACAACCAGGTCATGAGGTTTATGTTCTTCAGTCTATGGTCGTCACTGATAGGATGAGTGAAGAAGTACAGTGTACAGAAGGAATTTTTAGCCGCCATTTGCACCAAGTTTAGCAGCAACATTCGTGACTCTATGTTGATGGCTACACATAATTAGAGTTATTTTTTTGATGTCCTTGCCGCAGCTCACTTGTGCTATCGCTAAGCATAGTGGTCGAGGGTTTCCACGACTTGTGCTTGTCTGGTCTCTGAACCGTGCTTTGCCTAGAACATCTAGTGTACCGTTTCCGGTGTAATTAAACTAAAGCCATCTTGGCAGTTCCTCGTAACTATCAAAAGGCGCCAGTCAACAAGTTAGTTAGAACGGATGCACTTCAACCAGCAGGGCAGCTTCACTCTTTCCTTCAAAAGAAGACTTCTGGACCTTCAAACGCCGAGAATGATCTCGCAGTAACGAGGTATATTTACACATAATGTTCTATTCATGATTTCATTGTTTGAGATTTTACAAACTGTCTTAATGATCATAGTCACAGGTATTTTCCTCATGTGTTCAGATTGAAGCTGTTTGTTACTGAAGGTTTGTGTTTGATGAATTTGATTTTAAGGACTTATGATCCTCGAGCGTGCAAAGTCCATTCTGCTTCCAAAACACTAGTCGAGAACTCTGAATCAAAGCGATATAGTTTGTCTTGATGAACTCAAGTGGACGAAGAGTTTTGGTCCTAAATGAGCAATATGTCGAGGATGCAAGCTTTTGATAACTCATGCCTGTTTTTGTGAATCAGATTGATGATCGTCATGACTCATACTCAGGTTTGACTTTGTATGTTGTCTACGTTTGAGTATCCTACCTCTAATCGAGCGGGATTAACAAAGGAGAATTCTTCAAACTCTAGAGATGTAGACAGAGTTTTAGGTTTCAACCCTTCTGTTTTCTGTTGGGATTCCAGAAAAGTTGTCAGGCAAAGGCGAAATCCAAGAGAAAGTGCAGACTTAACCAGTATTCAAGAACTTCTAGCTTCAGTTGATCAAGAAACTCATTCAGGTGAGAAATCTTCTGCTTCTAGAATCTGTTGGAGACTCGTTCACAAGAAGCAGCCCTGTGCATGTAGGTATGGGATCGAAGAGTTCGTTGCCCCACGTAACACACACAACTGTGGATAGCGTTTGTTGTTCCCATCTTATCTTCGAGCTCATAGTGAGGTTTCACTTACCTGAATGGAAGTCCACTCAAGTATTCTGTTCAACGGAATAATGGACAAGGATTGACCATCCTTGTCCATTATCAAGCTTGGACTTTAGCTCTGGAACTTCTGTCGACGGGTTTGCCTTCTCTTAAATTACAGAAGTTGCCCTACTAGATCATCATTGTGACCTTTTGGTCCATGTGCTTAATACATTGTTCATCTCAAACCAGGATTACTGGAGATCGTGAAAAATTGTATTTATGTGGGGATGGCTGATGACAACATGGCTTTGGTTCAGTACAAAACCTACCTCTACCTGATTAACGTTTATGCATTCAGGTGAGCTAAGATGTTGCATGCTTAGACTGTTGTTGTAGAAGGCTTTGTTTCAAATTGGAGTGGCGTGGTTTTTACGCGCTTAGGATGCGGCAGATTGAAGTAACCCTTTGGATGCAAAACACATAGGAAGTGCATGAAGAAGTGGGTGTTATTAATAGTGAGGGGAGTATAAGTAACGTTGGTGGTGAACTGTGTTCATTGACTTCGCATGACAAAGTGAATGGGGATTCATCGATTCTAGTGGATGTCGTTATCAGGATCAGTAATATGATAGTAGTCTGGGGGTGATAGATAAGTAGTTCCAATTCTCAGCAGTTATCTTCTGTCGAAATATGGCTCTCCACCCACTGAGAAGAAATAAACTAGTTAGAACATTTTTGTTCGTCACCTTCACAAAACGAAATAAGGAATTTGTTTCCTGTTGCCCCTCACTTATGAGAAGTGGGAAATGCTTTGGGAGGTCTTTAGTGACTGCGATGACTAAGAATATGAGTCGTGTTTAATTTGTTGACTAAGCAGCAAAGAGCTTATGTACCAACAAGTGTTGCGACGATTTGCGCACTTCCTTCCTATGCAGCTTAGTAGTCTTGCACCCCTTCAAGAGTTGTTTATGGTGGCTCTTGATCGAGAGGAGGTGGAAGGCCGGTGGCATGAAAGCGATGGCCCTAAGGCTCAGATTGCAAAGGTACTTCAGTCGCTCTTTGTCAATGCGCTTGATTTGAATTTCTTTACGTAAATGTTGTACGAAAGGGAAACGATTGTTGCATAACAGTATTGGCTTGTATTTTGACTAAGTAGGTAGATTCTAATTGGCTGGTTACATTCACAGTTGAATTCAGAACTACTGCAGTGCAAAGCTGAAATGATCAAAGAGTACTTCTCGCTGGAGATTGATGATGGAGGACACCTACGAACGTTGCCTGTGATCCTTGACCAGTACTTTCCTGATATGGAGCGGCTTCCCAGCTTTGTGCTGAATCTAGGAAATAATGTAATTTCTAACTGTAATGTGATAGCAAGTGTGCTGCTTTATGTATGTACACTCACTAGTTTTTACGTAGTCCAAATATTAAATCTATTTGGGGATCCTCTTTTGTCTTGTTTGTTAAATATAAATACTTCCAACAGCTGTTTCTGTTTCTGTCCATCCGTGATGTCTAATTTTTCATTCATACTTAAACTTGCTTCCCGAATGAAACCATTGACACAGGTTGACTGGGAGACGGAAAAAGAATGCTTCGAATCATTCTCTGCTGCGCTTGCCGAGTTTTACGCAGTACACACACCTTCACTTCCAAATCCCTCGGGAGATGGAATAATCCTATACCAGCGTTTAAAGAATAAGCTGGCCAACACCAACGATAAATCAACGGAAACAGGCACGCACAGTCTTTATACTTTGTCGCTTGACCCAAAGTATTCATTGTACGTTTGGAAGGAATCTAGCATATCTGTAAGAGAAGTCTAGATACCATTTGTCTTGTCTGTCGGTGTTGATAAGTTTCGTAGCCTTATTGTCCTTCATTGCAAATTGTCAAGTTTTTGGAAATTTTTGTTTCCGTATGCTCCTCTTCTCTCATCCAATTTTCCTCTGCTTTTGTAGTTTTATGACCTCATGATCAGGAGTATCTCACGCCCTTGGATCTTGGTTACATTATTGGTGCATGCAGACAACCTTATGGAAAGGAATGAAGATGTAAACTCAAAAGATACAGAGTCAGAAGACCTCTTATCCGAGGCTCAAACAATTTGGGCCCAGCGAGAGTGGACTGTCCAACATGTGTTATTCCCTGCAATGAAGCTATTTCTCAAACCTCCAAGGCACATGGCTAAAGATGGTTCTGCTATTCAGGTAAAAAGCTTGAAGTTGGGTGAAGTCCGATAATTAGTCGGACGCCGGACTGCAATTGCAAACTTTGAGAGCAACTGTGCTGATTTCATTCCAATATTCACAAATATTGATACAAGAGTTGCTGTGGGGTTGATGGCAGGTAGCATGTTTGGAAAATCTTTACAAGATTTTTGAGCGATGCTAGTAAACTTTGTTTGAGTTGGTTAATCTATGATTGCCATCATAGTTTACTTAGTCCACGCTCAGCTAACGGTGGATTCTAAACTGCGTATAATGTCCCATTTTCTGCACCAAAAGTCAATTGTAAGGTAATTTTGTTATGACTATTGTGAGATTCTACAGCTTAACTCTACTTGTGACGTCATCTTCAACAGGTAGATTCTTCAACATGTTAAGAAAATTCTTGAGATCAGTCCGATTTTCCAGTGTCTGTATTTTCCTGCGATATCAACAATGTTCTTCCTGGTATTTGCAGGAACTTGGTCAGATTCTCATGCTGGAAATTTTCGAGAAAACCATCGCTAGTCTCTCTCTATACACATCATTCGATGGCTATTTTACGTTTATGATACTTTCATACATGCACTCATGTTTTCATGTCATGATCAAGAGTAAATGAGAAGCTTATTATCGGGGAGTGAAAAGTTCTCATCCGGATATTTGCAGTCATTAATTTCAGATATCTCAAGCTGAAATTGCTGGACGAAAGCATCACTAGTCTTACAAACATCAGTATATGTACATGTTACGTATGCGGGTACTTTGGATAGGTGCACTATGGTTTCCATGTTTCTTATCTGTTTCTTATTCCGTATCTGCCAGAAGTTTCTCAAAACCCCAGAGTGTCAATGCTGGGAAATGTATCCCAGCATTGCTTTTCCCGGGGTTCGAGAAAGTTCTGGCAGATAGGGAATAAATAGCAGCTCCTTAATGTCGTGTGTGGAGTTGTGAGAAGAGCTGGCTAATGAATACGCACAAAAGAGGGTATAGAAACTAGTGAACAAGCAGAAGACTCGCCTTCGATTGTTTAATAAATGTTCAAATTATTCTTCTTTACCCAAGTTTACTCATAACACATTTTGTATTATGAAAGATTAGAAAATCTGATATACTTTGTACAAAATACCAATTAGAGGCTGTCTTCTACAATCTAAAACGTGTTCAATATTGCAGTAAATTAGTCCAAATTTCTTTGTTATAGTTCTGATTTATCACAAAACGGTCCTGTATTATTTACTTGTCTTATGCAGCCTAATCTAAAGCCGCGTTTCAATAAATCGTGTAACCAAGCAAATTGGGAAAGAGAATCTTGACATCTCACACATCCAAGGAGATACCAACAACAAATATTGTCGAAAATGCCTTCACTTTCAGTTTCAAACCCAGTCCATGTGAGTTATTTTCTTCTAACTACGGATGAGATATGTTGGAAGATATAATAGCAAGATATATATTTAAATACATATAGAGGAGCATTTTCAAATTCTTTTTGGAAATTGAGTATGTTTTAGAGTACATGCTCTTCATCCTCAATATATCCACTTTCGTATAAATTACAAATAATTTCACTTGTATCAATATTAAACTAACGTACTTCTTCAATATTATGTCAAACAATGATATTATATATGAATGTAGAAATCCCTACAAGTAGAGAAAATTGCATTTTTGTGTCCTGTCTGTTCTAAATAATGTTGATTTTATTTTTCTTTAAACGTTTAAGGAGTGCCATAGGTTGCAAATCCTAATTGCATTTTGTCACATTCCAACTCAAAGACCAAATTACCAAATCCCCTAACTATCTTTAAAACATGTGACATGCTAAACATGTAATATATAGTCTTTTATCATGAATCCACTAGATGAGATTACATGATAAAATCACAAGATAATATTATCGAGATTAAAATCAATCATCATAATATTAACATGACATTGCAATAGTTAAATCTGCAAAAAATGATCAACGTTATTTATAAGTGTTATATATATATATATATGTATATATCAATTCATAAAATATATCATTACATATAACAGTAAAAAGCATTATACATGATTAAAAATGAAGAAGTGATTATTTGATAATAGATTTATATATTAATCAAGATTAAAATTTGAAATTATTGATCTAATATCCCAAATGTATTATGGATGAATCATTGTTCTAAGATATTAATCATGTCAAAACATGAAAAGCAATAATTCTATGTCACAAATTTGTTTTACAAAAGTTTGCAATATTATTCTCGTTATTTTATGATACACTTTGCTCTCATGATCAATTTCTAGCAAGTTAATTCAATTGTTTTTTTAATATCTTGATTTTCCATTCTCATAAATGAGTAGACATATTATAAAAAATATTCCATTTTAGAAATGTAAAATATTTTCTAGTGACGTTGTTATGTTGAATTCTGGATATCAATATTAACATGCTCACAAAAATCAATTATTTTAGATGACATGATTTTTTGTCTTTTTATAATATATATTATTTTAGAGAGATTGAAATCCGTGAATCTAATCCTTTGCTCAAGATTTGAAATAGATTGAATCTAAAACTTCAAATGACATGTCTAAAGTGCTTATGAGGTTGATTGTAGTACTAGAAGATTACAATGCATCCACTAGATTTTGACATAAAGCACAATGTTGTGCAATAATTCATTGCACAACATTGGTTTATATATTTAAGTTTCAAAATGATCTGCAATATTTATGCGCAGCTTAATGTATGACCTCATTAGACATATATTGATTGTCTTTTATACGCGAAAAAAACTCATCGATTGAAGCCTTAATAACAGTACTCCGATATTATAATTATAAATTTGATCATACTTCTTAATTTGAATTAACTATCGCAAGGTCCGGGTTGACGGGACTCCACTTTAGCCGTGGACATTCCCGAGGTAAGATCTTTGTCTAACCCTAAACTGAAACAATTTTTTAAAAGATTGCAATAATAAAAGCAGAATTCCAAAATATATCTCACTGCACATGCAAACAATCGAAAAAGAAGTAACATTTATCTTCATACATGCGTAGCTATTGTACGTTAGATTACGGTCAGAAAACACTATGGAATTGATATATGTGAGGTGTTCATGCCTAATATTGCCCGTACTCTACGCTTCTCGAATTCTCTTTGCAGAGGACTTTCTCGAAAGACAAATATGTTAGTCATGTGTATTACAAATGAAATAATTTCATAAGAGTGATCATACAACATCATATATAGACCGTAAGTGAAGCAATAACATCCAAATTCTCTAAGTTTGTGGATATGCAAAGATTCAATCTATTCGTTGTCTAGCTTTGGAGTTTAACATATATATAAAAGTGCATCTAATATGTTTGTGGAAGAGTTGTGAGAAGGTGATAATATCAAGTGTCAAGTAGTGATATATTCTTCATTCTATCGGAAGTTTTGATGAATTAAACTAGAGAAAATTACTTGATGGGACCTCTCTAGAACACAATTAGCTTCTCTAGGACTTCACAAAGTATCGTTTTACGGGTCCTGTTGACGGCACACCGTCCAACTATACTCTAATATCAAACGGCTTTATGAGAACGTACAGCGAGTGAATGCGGGCAGTGAGACCACCTCAGAGACGCCTGCAGAGGGAGGATGGAGTAACTGTCATGGGGGTGGGGAGGGGTGCATGTCCGTTTCGTTCGGACCTCTTGGCGCCTCGACGGAAATATACAGGAAAACGTTGCTAGAGGGAGGTGGGGGGAGCCTTCAAACTCTCCCCTCTCCTCCTCAGCAGCACCGCACTGACCTCATATCAGGCAAGACTACCCGCTGAGTTTAAGCATATCACTAACCGGAGGAAAAGAAACTAACAAGGATTCCCCTTGTAGCCGCGAGCGAACCGGGAGAAGCCCAGCTTGAAAATCGCATCGCAAGTTATAGTCTGGAGAAGCGTCCTCTGCTGCGGACTTGGCCCAAGTCCCCTGGATCCATACCCCTATGGGTATGGATCGGGTTTGGACCAAACTAGGGACGGTTTGGTTCGGGTCTGGGTTGGGTATGGATCGGGTTTGGACCAAGCTAGGAACGGTTTGGTTCGGGTCTGGGTTGGACTTTGAGTACGATGGTTTCGAGAGTATTAGGTTAAAGAATGGATTATTAGTAAAATTCAGTAAATTGGTCGCCGAGGATTTCTTGACTACTTGCTCATTGCACATATAAAAGTGATGGAATTTTCCATGTCACGGTTCCATCGACCTTTCTAATAGGTCCAAGTTGGGTATCATCTCGAATGTGACTTGGATGAGGATCGGTTATCGGGTTCGTCTCTTTGGTTGTGGGTCGGGTATGGGTACCACAAGCGCACAATCGGTGGGCATGGATCGGGTTCGGGTATAATTTTTATCCGTGATGCAGGTCTCGGCCTGCGGCTCCACGAGACGTTGTCGACTAGTCGGGCTGTTTGGGAAGAGAGGAAGGAGTAACTAGCGGAGCATGGTTAAAGGAAAGTCACCTATCGCTGTGGAAGTCATGTGGATGAATCCAAGATGTGATTTTGAGCTCAAAGTGGAGATGTTCAATATGAAACCTCGAGCATGGATCCTTTGAGCATAATTTTGATAATAAAACGAATGTGTGATGCTTCAAAAACCGGAAGAGCGGAGAGACAATCTCCAAGTATCATCGATAGATTGAGGTACAATCTCTGAGTATTTTTTGATAGATCAATTCCATGGCAAACCGACGGGAATGTCGGCGCATGCATCGGTTTCAGGAGCGGTTACGCGTTAATAGTGAGATGTGCAGTTATTAACCCACACACACTATAGACCTCACCCTGAAGTTACAAGAACTTTGTGAACACGGTGTGTGGCCAATGGGCCATATCCGGTAAAATGATATTTGTCGGGTCCCATTGAACTATTTGTGTTTCATAGGGTCCCATCAAGCAATTTATGATTGATATGATATATGTTTACACTCCTCTACAAAAGAATCATTTGAGCATAATCCTTCTTTGATTGACACATCATATGTATAACATTTAAATTGTTAGTTTGGATATTTTTGGTAATCTAGTTCACCACTGTGATACTATTTAAATCCTAGCCAACATGTTTGAGGTTTGGATTCATCCATGTACGACTTGATAGTATTTATATCCGTTTTGTCAAGGAGCAGATTTATACCTTTGTCGGTACGCTTAACCACTAACGTTTTTGTTCATTCTCTAAACAAACTCTCTCTCCTCTCCCTCCCTCATCATTGTCGAATCGCGTCAACGAGATGCTGTATTGGTCTCACGCGCAAGGGTTCTGGAGCAGTCTATCGTGGTTAGCAGACGACCGTGGTCATCTGCACTTAGCCTTACACTAGTTCAGAGAGGCCAAGTTGTAGGATAATGAGGTATTAATGATAGCCTATGTGCAGAACGTCAGAATTTTTTTTCAGTGGTGTGTATTGCTTTGTCGAAAAAGTATTTTCAATCGATCTGAAATGATGTATCACTTATTCACCGTTAAAATATTGAAATTTCATTTACTTTATGGGCCCTAGACCTAGACGCTTGCAGCACATGTACATCATTCCATCTATGGGCACCCGAGAGAAGCCTACTAGCAATGCCAACGGGAGGCAGACTCCAGCCCGTTGTTTAGACTCTTCTTCGTTTACAGGCACATTTTACATTATTGGTCCCCATGTTCAACATACGGACGAAATGGTTGACGAATCCTGCTTGTTACGACAATAAACTGAATATTGTATTATCATGAAGATGGAACCGGGTTCGGGGACACTGATGCTATTTCAAGACTTGAAAATTATTATATTTTACAATCTTATAAAATATATTTCATAAGATTTAAAATATCATTACCATCCATTTTACATTCAAAACGTGGGAATTTAAAAAAGAGATGCAAATAACACCAAGAGATTGCTCAACGTAAGTACGTTGTTCACGGAAGTCTATGTAGGCGAAAACATAAATATTTTACTGAGAATTTTAAGTTTGAATCACTAAGAGTTACGATAAGCTTTCTTAGAAAATGACAAGTTAAGTGGACCATAGTAGAATTAAATAAATTTAACTAATTTAACTCAAAAAAAACTACTTTATTTCACGTCTTGGAGATTGTGTATTCTTTGGAGATTGTAATCTCCAAAGAATAAACATTTACTGTATGGTAAGTTCTAGAAGGAAAACTTGTAAAATTTCTTTAACCTAGAAACAACTATTACTACACTTTAGTAAAATCATGAGTTGGTAAAATGATATATAGATGATATGATTGTTAGTAAACTCCATCTATGCTCTATTCTCCATCGCATGTACATAAGAGTCATATGAGAACAGTTAAGCATTTTGTTATGTTGTGTTTTCGTGAATATATTCTATGAGTTGTCTACTACGCTGTTGCCTTTCACTCCCGTGCTATAATCTTACTAAAGTTGTTTCTCATGAAGTTTATACCTTCCATTATTCACTTGTATCAGAAAGCAAAAGGCACATTTCTGTTTACAAAATTCAATTTGAATCATTTCAATAAATCCCAAATTTTACACAAACATGTATTCACATCCAAACATTGCCTTTAAGAAATTTTATTAAATACAATAATCTATAGCAATAGTAAGTGGATCTTTATTCATTCATTTTACGCATATTTGAATAATTTATCTCCGAATTGAAAAATCCATATTGTATTAATTATGAAATTAATCAAGGAGGTTATCATAGTTAGCTTACTCATGATTGAGTTTAGCTAGCAACTACTAGATTTAATTATCCAATCTATACTTAGTGAATTAACTAGAATCAATCTAGAAGTTATGTGTAAACACCATTATATTTTTTTCTATCAAATAAAGGAAGACTTTGATTTGATGTATGTTAAGTTTGCTTGGTCACACAAAGGGGTTTTTTTCTTAATATTTAGAGTAAATTTTTAAATAAATCACTGAGTAGTTGAGGTCTTAGAAATTTCAAGTAACCCAATGACATGTCAATATCTCTATTTAGACAAAATTAATATTTTAGAAGGTTTAAATAAGTCAATGACATGTTCTTATGTAATATTTTGAATGTGAAATAATTCTCAATCAAGATTAATTTTAGTTAAAGTAACATACACAGTAGTTATCATGAGATGTCAGATAAAATTAAAAACAGTATTCAAAGAGAGATGAAGAAGAGCATATCAAACAACTTTGGAGAAATTTTTGTGTATAATTTGATTTATTGATGAAAAATTTAAATTCTGAAATATCTCAAAGTGTGAATAAGAGTTTGTCTTGAGTGGAGAGGTTGTGTGAGAGTGTATATTAGACACAACCATGTAGCTGTGTTTCCAACCTTCTAGAATTACGATGAAGTATAAAAAATCACATGAGATAAACCTAACTCAGATTCAACCTAGACTCAACCTAGTTCATAGTTTCTGCGATATTTTGTCTCCTTCACTTGATCTTTTTTCATTCATCACAATCAAACCCAACCGCTTAACTTCCTGCAATCCTCTTAGTTTCCAATCTAATATGTACACATCTCAATTTTCTTCTATCTAATACAATCTAATCTAATGGTCCATTGGATTAGATTGTATTAGATAGAAAAATGGGATGGACAATTTAACATAAAATCACCTCAAGCACTCTTCATAGACTTGGTCATCACCTCCCAACTTCTCGCAGGAAAATACACAGCACGCATTAGAGTGATAATCCGATGATCAAGTCCTTGGGACTTCTATAAAGTTATGTCCAAACAAAACCACCCTGGTGCACACACAATAAGCTAATATGGAGTAGATCCAAACAAAAAAAGCAAGCAATAATCCTCCACACTGGAATTCTCCTAACCAGCCCAAGATTGATTTTTGCCCTATCCAAAAACAAACTCGGACTCCAAATCTATAGCTCACATCAACACTTGAAGACTGCATTTATCAAACCTTCATTTGATCAAAACTCACACTCACATAACTTTATAAAGGTTTTTCAATTCAAAACTTTCACGTTTTGTTCACCATCTTTGTCACATGTAAATAAGACTATTCTAAAACATCCGGATGTCTTGCTCTAAGGTGAATTTTTAAATCCTTTGTGTGATTCGTTTTCTACATTTTTCACTCTTGTTTTCTTGCTTTCAATTTACTAAAATCGTTTCACGCGAAGTTATTCCTCAGTTTTTTTATTTGCATCACATTTTATCAAAATCATTGCATTCTTAGATCTATTGTACAACATCAAATACATAAGATTTCATGATTTTGATGTTTCATGATTTTGTCATAGATAATTATCGTTATTTCCTAAAATAATATTAATTAGACATTGAGTTGCAAGAAAATCGAAATGCGATACGACAGGAGTTCAAGTTTTTTTTCTGTGTGGATACTATCATGTTCAACCTGTCAAGCACACTTTGAAAATCTTGTCCTTACCATGAATTTTCCTTTAACTCTTGTGAACATCCATACAGATTTGACCCGAAGATTTCATCTTGAATGTAGATTTCAGTTCATCTTCAAATTTCACGTTGCTAAAATGAGAAAGTCATCCACATAAATATTACAAATAATGAAGCCAAAAGTATCACAAATCATTTTTTCATATATATACATATATATCAAACACACTTTGCAAATTTTTTTTCTTATTTTTAAAACTCTTCAAACCTTAAAAATCATTGTATAAAATATTTTTAAAGGTCAAATAAATATTTTTATTTCATTTTATTTTACATTTTGCTATGATTCATCTTTTGACAAATGAATCATGGCTCCTTTTACAGAATGTTGTAGCGAGCTGAATACAACTCATAGATAAGGATGTCAGTATGGTAGAAACGGCCCTCATGTTATCCGTACCAAGTATTATACAAATCATAAACTTGAGAAAGAGAAAAATCAAGTCTGAAATTTGTACCAATGAAAATTCTCTACGCCGGGCTACGAGGGCATGTAGGAAAAAATAATTTCTCCTATTCTATTGGTGTCTAATTCATCCAATTAGAGGCATTTAAGGAGTGGAACAGAAGGGCATCCTCAAAAGATCTATCGCGCTTCGAAGCAATGGCAAGTCCCCAGAATCTTGGAACTCACGCAGAGAATATCTGTAGTATCCACGCTTGAGATTAAAGTATATGGAGTCTTCGTGTTCTGCATTGGAAGATGAGTAAAAGCTGGGGATGTCACATGTACAGACACAAGTGTATAGAACGAAATTCCAGCATCAGCGTTGCCGGACTTTGTTCACAATTATGGAATAAAAGAAGGTGAAGTGACTCAGTGTTAATACATCTAGTATCTGAAATCCCTTCTCGGGACCTACTTGCTTGTAAAAAATCTTTTGACATGAAAATATGTGACCCTAAGAGCACATATACATAAGAAAAAGCACAAAGAAAAGACATGGTAAAGTTACAAAGATAATGAAAGTACTCCATCGAGTCTCGCATGGATAAACTGTTCATCCATGTGACATCACTCAGTTCCCAATATCATCACAATGTCTGCATTTAACGTATCTTAATAATGACTTGTCATAATGTCGACACACAACATAAGCACAGTGATTTCCTATAATGCAACAAATGGTGATATTTGTATAGACTACTTAGAGGAAAAAGTCAAAAAAGAAATTAAAGAATATATAAATGACTGTTGCATACTTGTCATTTTGTTTACTAATCCAAATTGCATTCATTCATAGTCATTACATAGGGCTATTCTAACGTTATAATACTAACTAACCAAAATACTTGTTGTAATACTAGGGCTATTCTCACGTTTTAATTTGTAGATTTACATGCATCAAGGCTTTTTTTTTGGCTCATCAATCAACTCTTTTCATTATATTGATGATTTGACTTTGCTTCATACATTACTCTACAGCTGAATTTGTCGTATGTGAATGAGATATTAACCTGCATATGTCTTGTGTAAATCCATGAGAAATCAACGTGACAATTATTTGTTATTGAAGTTAATCATTAATCTTAAACATGGGTATTATGCCAATTTGGAGACGTGACGGACACAAAAAAAAATCTAAAACTAAATTTAAAGATTGAAATCATGAGATTTACTTATAGTGCAAAACTATTAAATTACGTTCGCTATCAAGTTTAACCATATGATATATACAGTTTTGTTCGATTGCCACGGTGTATGATCTTGAAGCATATCCACGTGTATAACTTAGACGGGCAAGCATTTTGGCAATGGGTTTTTCTTATTGAGGAGACTAAATTTTCTTACGAGTTTTACAGCCATCTACGAACTAGTTTCTACAAAATGTAAATAGTTTTCTCCCTCATTGGAATTTTTTGAAAACTACAAAGCATTAAAATATACGCCAACTTGAGATGTTTCCAAAACATATCAACCATATGAACTCTTACTGCGCAAATCTCTTGTTTGTATCGACATTTTCTTCTCATGTAAAATATTAAATCTTGAGGACAAACGAAACCCTTTCATGTTTCTCTAAAGAACTTTCTGCTGGAAGTTCGTGCCTCCAGCAGAGCCAGTTTGGACAGTTTCATCACGGTCTATCTAGAACCGTGCGAGTAATTTCGTGAAACTGCAGTAGCATCAACTGTAATATAGTGCTTGAAGACCACTACAATATTATTTTGTACAATGTACAGAAGTGCAAAGCACGAGGAGTATCAAGGAGGGATATATCAACAGAGGTGTCAAAGCTACACAAAGATCCTAGATCTCCCAAACGATAATTGTGGAGAAAAAGATCAACGGCGTCGAAGAGGTCAACAACGAATGTACATGGCTGGATTCTTGGAAGATTTCAAGGAACTGACAAAATCTCATTTCAGCTTGCCTTTCCGTGAACCTGAACCCTTTTCTTTCCTACTCCTGCTTTACAAAACATACAGGATGTCCACTGACATTGTTCTACTCTACGGCCCTTTGAACTGGGGCTCTGAATGCTTTCAGCTGAGCAGAATCCAATTTATCCAGGCCATCGAAGAGAGGACCAAAAGGAGGCAGAGGAATGTATCTGCCAACACCTCTTTCCACATTGAGATGGCCTTTATCCCATACAACCTTTCCTTGACTTATAGTCGTCTCAATGTTGCCCTTCGCATTTCATGAAAACAAATCGTTGTTAGTTACTTTCTTGCCAGTACCGAAGACTTCGACGAAAGCACGGACACCTTGCAACTTGAAGAACTTAGGGTAACAACAGAGATTTGTCAGAGCATTCGTTCATACCGCTTGGTAACTACTGAACCCACGTGCAATATATATAATCTTAACAGCACAATACCTTCATGCTCCAGCCCTCATATATGTTGGTGTCGATAGTTGAGTGATGGGTCTCGGCACTAATTCTCGTGTTTCCTTTTGGATTCATAATGATGATATCAGCATCAGAGCCTGGTAAAATTGCTCCTTTTTGTGGATAAATGTTGAATATCTGTGCACTGAAAGCAGAACCATGGTATTAATTGTCTAGAAACTGAATACATAAAAAGAGGAATACATATAACACTTATTTACTGTAAAGCTGAACTTGTAATTCACATCCAATCTGAAGGCAAATTTTCTGTTGAGTGCACGTGAGATTACCAATCCTGGATTATGGATGAGTTGCATGAAGTATGAGACCAACCATAAAAAGTTCCAGTAGATTGTTCTCAGACCCTTATACTTACCAAGCAGTGCTCGTTATCCGGACATAATCCATGACAGACACTCTTCCAGAGTTCTGCAGAACGGCAAAGAGCACTTTGAATAAAGAGGGAAGAAAATTCTTCTCGGCCTACACGTGACCATGTCTCAAATGCACCAACCTTAATTCTGTTTCTAACTTCTCTTTCTGTTATGATTTCAAAAGTGCTTGTTGTCTATTTGTAAATGCATCAATTTCCCCAGGCTTTGCGTTCTATGAAAGATTAGGAGAAATCAATGGTTTGAAAAAATCTAAAGAATTTTCTTGAATTGATTTAAGATCACCGTTGGATACTTATAAACCAGGAATAATGACCTTTTAAAAATAGACACAAATAATCTCTTATTAGTTGCCTTAATTGATAGTTGAATGTTATTGAACATACAAATAGTAAGCACAAAAGGATGACAACGAGATGAAAACAGAGGGAAACTGATCACTCACCACCATGAGATCCCAGACAATGTGCATTCGCTCTTCAATGCCTGCATTTTACAGCTACTTCAAAGTTACTTCACCGTTCCGTCACACCATTTGTATCAAAAGTAGAATGAGGAAAGTGAGGGGCATACTTGGATATGTATGTATATCCAAGTTACAAGCGCTGGCTAGAAAGCTTCCGAAGAACTTTATTTAGATTCGGCATCACAGCGCATATTTGAATTATAAAAGAATGAATGCAGTTGGTACATACCATTCACACCGTTGGGTATCAGGCGGAAGTCACTCTTCCCAGCTGCCTTCTGTTTGGAATTAAAAGCACAATGATCTGTGCCCACTAACTGTGTACAAACCAAAATTAAGCATGAGGATGTGAACATTGAAGTGCAGGAGGAGAACATTAAGAATGTTCTCGTCCTGCATAATATGGCTAGACACGAGTACATGATATGTACAATAGAAGGCATCCACTCAGTGCAGACCTGTAATACTCCATTTGCCAGTGCTGCTTGTAGAGCCTCGCCATGTCCTGCAGGTCTTATAGGTGGACTCATTACGTACCTGCAAAGTAGGTAGTAGCACAAGGTTATGAGCATTGCCTAAACGCACCTGACCTTGAACCAAAACAAGCCAACTGAAACACGAGGAGTATTCATCGATCCAGGACATCTGTCTTTAGCTGCTAAGATCACTTGACTAAGCTCGAACTCATGGATTATTCAGTATTCGATTAAGTTTCATCCGGGGAAAAAGAAGAAGAAAAATTATGTTCAACTGTTATATTCACATGACGGGTTAAATCAATTGCCACGTCAGTTCCTTGCTTCAGTTCATTGTAATACTTAAATGATTCGCTCTTTCAACTTGACATACTTTGAAGCTGTCATAAAGTCAGGATCCCATAGAACAGAGTCGTTTAAGGCCAAGCCTGACGCGACAGGTTCTCCAACGACGCGCACTCCTGTAAAAACAATATACCGTCCAATCAACGCTGGTTGATAACTCTTAAGCGGATACCAGGTCAGGAGCAGATCTACTCTATTACAAAAACATTGCGAGCAAGCAAGAGAATCAAAGGGCTTGTGCATGACTCGGGATTTCGATTCCTTACCTTCTCTTCCTCCCTATGGGCAACAACTACAACACATAAGCATAAACATTGCTATTCTGAAATAGTCTTCGGATTCGGCACACTTGCTAAACATCAGGTTCTAAAAATTATGTTCTAAACAGGAGGTCTGATATGTAAATCCTGGGGAGTCACAGATGTATAAATTTTGTGTGACATGAGAAATGGCAAGATCTTTTATGATCGGAAAAGATCAGATGTGTGGCATAAACTTGTCTTATATAGCAAAAAATAGACTCTAGCCTCAAATTAACTCATGATCAATCACGTCAACCATGTTCATATTTCTAAAGGTAGGTTTGGGCTGAACACCTGCAGCTCGAGCTCGAGATATTTCATCAAGAGCATCAGTGCTCATGACATGTACGACATAGAGAGGGGTGTTCACAAACTGTGCTAGTTTTATAGCTCTGCCTGTTGCTTCTCCTTCGAGCTGTCGGAGTGACAAACATACATGAAAGGTTAGTTAGAAAAGAGAAGGGCTTGTATGTAAACTGAATCTTAGGCAAGGCAGTTTACACAAGGAGAAGATGTAGACACACACAAAGATGGTGGGTGGAATTGCGTGTATAATACCTCACCCTGAAATCATAACGTCAACAAATTCACTTGAGCTTTACAAGCATCGCTATTGGTGTTGAGTGTACATACCAAAGATGGTCTAGACAGTGCATGCCCTTCGGGACCTGTAATGCCCTGAGCAAAGATTCTAGCTTGGCCTTCAGCAACAGCATCCCCATTTTCAGCATGAACTTGAGCAAGCGCTCCCAACTCCTTACACTTCCGTAATCCTTGCAGAAACTGCTCATCCGTGACCATAAGGGAACCTTTGTAAGCCAGAAAGAATTTGAAAGAGTTGATTCCTGCAAAATCAAAATATTTCATGTTCAACAGTTCTCACATATCAACGATCAGGACCATGACAGACTTCTAATCGCAGATGTACCAATACAAGGCATAATCCGAAAACTGACATGTACATTCTTAACGTTCAAAGAGACCAGATACACTCTTTCAGAAATCAACATGTATGAACCCTAACCTTTCTCTTTCACAAGGTTCTCCATGTCCTTCGCAACGTTATCGTTCCAGGTTGTGACAGCCATGTGGAAGCTGTAGTCCATACATGACTTTTCAGCTTTCTTGACATAGCTTTCATATCCAGCAGCAATATCACCGTCTATAGGCAGGGCAAAGTCTATATGCATGGTTGTGCCCCCTGCCAAAGCTGCGGCTTGGCCAGTGAAAAAATCGTCTGACGTTTGTGTGCCCATAAAAGGCATCTCCATGTGAGTATGGGGATCAATGCCACCTAATCATTGCAGGAAGAAAGAATAATTAGTCACAAAGAAATAGGAATGTCCATTCAAAAATATTCTTACAAACACTAAATTTTGCATTCAAAGATTCCTAAATAATGTTTGGAACTACAGAAGAAGAAAGTGTAGGATAAGACCGGATAAAAAGGCTTCATCCAATCTAGTTTAAGATGAAAGCATATACCTGGCATGACGAATTTACCCGTGGCATCGATAATTCTCACATCATCCGAAACCTGAAACAATTCGTCCACAAATCGATGAAGCTCTGAGTAAGTGCTCAATGAGCACAGCACTACAAAAAGCTGATGTATATATTAAGTACTCAAATGATCGACCCCAGAAACTCAGATGTTTGTTTGTATGAAGAGAGTTTAACTGTTGAATCCTCTGAGATAAGAACAATCTCCATGGTTGTGGGTTCCGACACTGATCATCGATAGCAGTCAAGTGCAGAATCAGATTTTTGGCCTGTACTACCTTAATGTTCTGGGCAACAAGCCTGATGAGGCCGTCCTCAATGTACACGTCGGCTTGCTGTTGACGGTCTGCATTGACTACAATTCCTCCAGTAATGAGGAGCTTGGACGTCTGCTGCTCCCATTGACACCCTTCTTTGTCCACATCCAGCCCACAGATCTGCCAACAACCACATACTGCTAGATACGTCTTTCTTACCAATGATCTAAGATTACTGGAAGCGAATAATTTCCGCGCAAGACAACAGGCTGACTCAATGGATTGTTCTATACAAACAACGATCACGAATTAGCTCAATTCACGAGCAGATGGAACTGGAACTCACTCCGTCAGCAACCGCAGAAAGAACCAATTGCAAAAGAATCAGCAATTGCAGTAGCTGAAGAGGGACGATGACGACGCGACCCCTCCTCGAACAATCGGCTAATTCCGCTCTGACATAGACTCTTCCTGTCATCGCACCCATTTTCTGTAGCGAATTTTGACAATGTTTAGCTCTACATCGTCACTTCTCCTTCACCGTGTATCAAACCACTACTTCAAACCAGGGCGATCGACATAACTCTACGCACAGTCCTTGCTCCATCTCGTCTAGTCCCATGATCCCATCCCCTCCTCCCGCTGTCTACCTGTACAAACTTTCCACACCCGCTGGAAAAGAGCTCCCTTTGTGGGACCCTTTGTCTCTTCCCTTTCCACGACAGCAGAATTTGACATGAGTATAATCGGCATAAGAAACTCGAACTAAAGCCCACTACGAGAGTCACCTCCCATAACAGAAGAGCCGATCATGGGACGATGCACTGTGGATTTGTCTGTGTTAATATGTTCCCTTTTGCGATAATGAACATAACAGGCACATTCTCAGAGTTGCAAGAGTTCACAGTTTGCACCTTCGAGTTTAAGCGTAACAATTTGAGTAACTCAAAGCTTATCTCTTCTTAGCTGGAATCACATAAGCTGTAGGTTTTCACTCTCGTAAGTACAATTTAATTTAAGGATACACCGCTTGATGGGAGGTATTTGCAATTTTGAAGGCATGGAAAGAAGGCATGCTGGGAGTAGACAATCAACACCCTCTGTACAAGGGGAAGGAGATTATACCAGAGTCGAATGTAGATTGCTTATTTGGCTGTGGGCGGAAAGGAAACGATTTTATGGTTATAATACTATGTATGTATGTTATTAACGTTATGTATAATTAACATATTAACATACATGGAAACCACATCATGTATGGTTCTCTACATGTTTAACAAGTTTTTTGTTCCACTAAACTCTTGGAAGTTAATGATTTGCAGTTCCTTGGATTTCTTCAACCAATTTTACATCCAAAGATGCGAACTTAGATCTTCATCTAACGACAAGATCCGATGAGATTAAAATTTGCCGGTTCGAAGAGAAATGTAAAAGCAGCAAGATCCCTATACTGGAGGTACATAGGGCAGCGTTACAAAATGTTTTGAAGGCAATATTCTCGAAGCCATGCTCATTCTGAAATTAACTCCCCATGTGTAACTTCATTGACATCAATATAATCCGTCCTCTTGTAGGACTGACAAATTTGAGATGTTCACGGCGTGATAAGGGGATCAACGTATTGACCTTCCTAGTCCGCGCTTGTAGATTACATACGTCTTTGACGAATGGTTGACCCGCGGTTTTATGCTTCATAAGCAGCTATTGATCATTGGTACAGTTCTACAAGATTCATGACTATTGGCCCTACAATTTTGCCATAGAATTGATAGATTTCTACAAGAATGTATATATACAATCGACATGATATGTGCTGGTCCACCTTAAAGCCTGAAGGACTTCGACACTGGCTTTGACATGACTGATCGCTCGGATTCGATCGACGCATTGAATCCTGGTTGAATCCGCATGGACATTGTCCTGCACATAAGAAGGACCATTACACATCATGAACATTGTTACAAATTAATTAAACTACTGTAACACAAAGATTGAGTTGACTGTTCTTCCTCGGTGTTAGCTACCCGAGCCCACATATCTTCATCAATTTACACCATGTCATTTCCAATTGCAGGTTTGCATCATCAATTCAATTTAGACTCAACATTCCACTGTCAATTCATACAACGTGAGTTCATAAGAATGGTTGAAGAGAGCAGAATGTTCCCAAAGACAGCAAGCTACAACAATTCGGAGGAACGCTATAAGTTAGTGATGTCCTGTAGGATAAATATAGTTTACGGTTTCAAAAGGTGAACGCTTAAAGGAAGCTCTTCTTACCTCAAGTTTTGTAGACCCTTAGGACTGATGGCATTTCCACCCAGACCCCATGTATTAAAAAGGTCAAGGATATCGTCGTGCTCCTCCAGATCATCGTCTGGTGGCGTTACATGTAACAACTTTCCTTTGTGATCATCAGACGGGGACTCTTGCTTTTGTTCTTCCACTGGTATAACACTGATTTCAGAAGTGCATCCTTTAGTCGCCTCCATGGAACAGTCAGCTTTTACATCAGCTGTAAGCTTCTGGGAATCGTTAACAACTTCTTGGGTAGGTGGATAGGCATCTTCAGCACTCTTCACATCGTTAGTTTCTTTTATCGAACATCCAATGTGTGAAGATACCATTTCACGGTCGGCAAACAAATGCTCATGCTTGCACTTTTTTTCACTCTGGTTGATCAACCACTGAGAAACCCTAGAAACCCACGGCGAACCGATGTCATGAAGAACATACTCGACTAGAAACGAGCCAGGCACTTTGTTAACCAGCTTATACACTCCTTGACACTTGTTCTTTACAACAGGCTCGTATTCAACCCAAGCATCTGCTGTGCAGCCGACGACTCCTCTCCGTCGCACCGTCTCAAGGCCTTTCTGCATTATATCAAGAGCTTGTCCAGATAGAACTACATGTAGCGGGGTGACCAATACTGATGCCAAAGGAATGTTATTCACTGCTGCATCGCTTGCAGCATTGATCTGAGAACAAAAGAACAGTGGAAGTATATGTTCAAAACATGAATAAATCAACAACAATAGAAACAGTCACATGATTCGAAACAGGACACACCCCCAACAATGGATGTCAAATTGAAAGCCATAAACTGACCTTATTATCCGCAAGTGCCAGCAAGTGCAGACCTTCTTCCTCTGCATTTGCAATTAACGGCTGAAGCAAAGGACCTAAGGTGTCCTCAGCATAAGCAACGGATTTCCCCACAGGGAATGGTAGCTTCCTCGCCTTTTTAAAAATGAAATGTACGACGTCAATAACTGTGTTTCCGAGATCCTCCAGAATCGTCAGCCTCTGGGTTGTGCCATCCTGCTTAACGGATGGTATGAAACAGTGAATACAGGAATAATATTGCAGTCAAGTTGACAAAGCATAATAAGTCTGAGGTTCAACCATTTCTCCCAGTCCAGGTAGCTCTGACACAGAATCGGTTTGGTACTAGGAAATATCAAGGAGCACAAAAGACATTACAATCTCTCAGCTGAGCCTAGCCTAGCTAATGACAGCCCGTGGCCTGACTATTGCAATAGGGTCCATTCATAGAATCCAAGAAAAGAGTCGTCACAGTCTTGAAAATTGTAGACAAAACAACACTTAACAGATTCAGGCTCCTCAAAACTACATACTATTGGCGGACGAATTGCTTTCGTTTCTTCTCATGCATATGAATAGTACAAGGTATTTTAGACACGTGTGTCGGTAGCTGATCGTCAATCTCTACTGGTCGTATCCAGGAATCTCCACAAATTGCGACTCAAATCAGGATTATTTCCTACAAGAGATGATAGAACGAACCCTCGAGGAAAGCTGCTCCGGTGCACTCGATTCTGACATGTTAACTTCAATAGATCTGAAATCCACACAAAAGGGCATCAGATTGCTGCTTTTCAGGTGAAAAAATTGTACAGATGTCACTAGATAGAGAAAAAAAATTAGGAAATGAAGAAAAAGAAGACTTGTTCTTCTTGTGTTCGTTCCACGACGTCCTGGTCAACACCTGCTGCAGCGTGATTTGTGTGACGTTTGTTCGTGTGCTCAGAGGACCTCAGAGAACCGATCAGAACGCTCCTGGTGTGAGTAAATATTGAAATATTATTCACTCAGTGTTCACTAACGACTCACCCAGTCCGATTCTTAAACAACTAGAGTCGAAATTAAATACACATGCGCACTACTCAATTGTACTACTCAATTGTGAAGCTGGCTGCAAATTGAGCTCATAGCTCTATCACTGGCCCAATTGCGCTATCGAATGCCAGTATGACTGATCCACACAACCTCGTTGTCTAGATGTCCACCTGTTGAAAATTTAAAGAATGATCGATAGCAACAGACTGTGTGTCATAAATTTACCATGTGTACACATTGTGAATTCAAACAATGTCCTCGATGGACTCACAGGCACAGCAAATTAAGATAGAAACTGCAAGGTTTCAATACAAATGCAAGAGATAGAATTTATATGGAAAAGTCTCATTTCAAAACGACAGGATTGCCTGAAAAGAACCCTCAGTATTGACCACATATGATATATAGCTGTAGGCCACGAGGAAATCAATTCGTTCCAATCTGATTCGAAGCTTCCACGACAATTGACACGACAATCGACCGTTCGTATTCAAGAGCATATGATTTCACAGACGGAAAGTTCCTTCCATAGGCTGGTCCTTGGAAAAAATTTCAAAATCAGGGACGGTGTATGCTTCAACTGATCCATCCGTTTTTCAAGTCTTCCCAACAAAGATGTAATTCGATGAATTCTCAATGCGAGAGACCGAACTGATCAATTTATTAAGTGTCAAAATTCAATCCCACCCAGAGAATTTTCACCAGAACCCCTGAGCAAACGCTAAGATGTGTGTTTGGAGAATAAAGAATTACGAATAGATACTTTGTCTGAAGCATCTCACTCTCGTTCAACGCTAGAATGAAAATGAGGTCTAGCGCAGAACGGACGAATCAAGCATTCCAGAAGCTCATATTCTCTGCCAGGTTCTCACCGAATTTTGTCCTGCTCAGCTCACCGAATGGGCAGTGCAGGCGGATGTACGACATCCAATTCCCTTGTTTCGTCCGCACGCTCTTTTCCTCGCCAGGCTCTCGCTCGAAAATCAAACCGCAGCCATCTCGTGGACAACGAGCACCTCTGCATCGAATTCACTCTTTCTCTGGCTCACTCTCTCGCGTCTGCTCGCTCTGTGCTCTGGCTGCTGGCCCCACCGCGCCATCTCCAGCACCTCCTCCTCTCGTCCCGGCCTCACCGACTGGCCCCCGCGAGCCAGCTGGCCCGACGCTGAGGCAGCTGACTGGACCACGGCCTCCCGGTGGCACCTGCGCATGCACAATCAACGTAGCCGCCTCGGTACACCACCACCACCGGCAGAAGCCGGTTCATCCCTTTCACCTGCAAATCCCGGGAATCAGACACTGGGGCCCTATTCGTCCACCGTCCACCACCACTGCTGTGACTTGCTCCCGGCTTCTGCTTAAATTTTACCGAACCCTCTCTCTTACCGTTCACTTGCCGTTTCACCTGCTATAGCAGGTTTCCTAAAGTCCAACCCGTCGTATACGATCGTCTCCCGACTGCATTCAAAAACGATTCGGGGCCTCAGTGAGTATTTCAATGGATCCAACGTCCAGACATTTTTGCATTTATTGTATTCCGCATCTGCAATTAATGTTCCTCTTCCTCCCATGCTCGCATCACCGATTACCTGGATGTCGAGGTTCCGAAGGATCCGTTGGACCCTGGTAGTCGTTTCAGATACATTTCGTCTTTCGAACGTGGCTCTTGAGTGTCACATAGAATGGGAGTAAAGAGCAATATGGCGAAGAAGGATGGTAATGTTACGTGAATGGTGACTACATCACACATCTTCCTTCACTATTTACTTTTTGTATTATCCAACATATTGGACTTAAGAATCATCTGTTCTCACGTATTAACCAGATAAAATGAATCAAGGGTTCATACGGTCTATTGTACATTCTGAGAGCACCATATAGTAAGAGAATGTAGTATGTTTGTTTGTTTTCGTATGATACTGTTCAAATTTCTCATGAATGCAGTTTTGATGTGAATTTTATATTATTCACAAGTCAATATGATAAATTTTGGAGAAACGGAGATATGACCTCTTTGCATACTAAGTAATATAAAATCTTCAGTTCCCATTTCATTCTTATTTTAAAAAGTGTAAAATGAGAAATTCTCATATATTTAATATACATCACTCATTTTCCAAAAAGAAAATCATGGGAATATATCATCAAGAATTCAAGGTGTAGAATGGGGCTAGCCCCAATAACATCGCAGTGAAAAACATATAAATCCCCATGATGACTACCATACAACCTTTAAATGAACAATGAATCACAGGTACTCTTATCACATTCATGATAATATCAAATTCCCGTGTCAATAAAAGTTTGTGAACCAAGCAAAGTGATGACCTCCCGGACCAAGTGGAGAGAATAGAAGTATGGGAAAGTAGATGATTGAGTGCTTGTGACGAATTCACTGTACATGGTGCTCATTGTCACATATAGACTTCGGGTTATGTGAGTTCTTACGCAAGTTAAAGGCTAATATATCTGTGGTTACTGCCATCGGAGATTACTGTATTGTCTTGATACGTAAAAGTAAAATTAAAATATTCTCCCCCCAGGTCTGCAGTCGGATGCGGGTCGAAGATCCGACGCCAAGCCTGAAACGACGTGTGGGTCGGAGTGGCGGGCAAGTTTCTGGCCGCCGGCAGATGAAGATGGCGGTCTTGAGACTCGAAGGTTTGACAGAATGAAGGTGGACCACGATGGGGCCCCCACGATCCGTACATGAGAGGTCTTTCATTCTACAGGAAGGTGCTCGTGGGGCTATTGTGGTGTCAAAGAGAGAATCGATCCTTCGTGTGCAGATGTGAACCGAGTAATATAGCCAAAAGATGGAAGATCCAGCAATCTGGTCCTACAGGATCACACCAAACCAAACCAGTAACATGGGGCTTGCCCCAAATACACATACAGAGTACAGGTTGCAAGATTCCACAATTTCTCACTGCTCTACGCTGCTCTCTTACAGCCGCGTACTGTACTTCCCACTATGTTGAAGGTGGGCGTGATGCCTGCACAAGGCTTGATGTGAATGAGGGCCACTCGCATGAGTGTTGGAGGGGATTTCATTACCACTCTCATTCATCCTTTCTGATGCATGCCGTACTCGGCTTCTTGAAATCGATTTCTATAGTTGAACATGTCATTCACAACTTCTCTATTTCAGTATATTACGTCGGGGACTACTAGGGCCACACCCGTGTCTGCTACGGCCACACCTGCCCGCTAATAGATCAATAGAACTGCGGCAGCAACGCGGGAGACAGCGATGGCCGCAGCGGCCCCGCGCTCCTCGAAGCCTCTCGACTGCGCTCTCCTCTGCCTCGCGGACGAGCTCGGGTTAGCAACTGGGTTTGAGGGGAGTCGTGATTTGACGCGCAATGAGTTGTTTGTATGTAGCGGGTGTGGCTGTAGTCGTCCCCTATTACGTTCTCCATAAGTTTCACAATCGCGGATAGTCAACGAGAATAGATCCATCCTTATTGCGAAATTTGTCGTCTAAATGATGAATTACGACACGTTTAGTGCAAATGTTGAGAGAATCTTGAAATATCTTTGTAATCCTGCATATTTCCAAGTCATCACACCAATGAAATAATGGTGCCGAGGATGTAAGCTGTAGATTAAAATCAACATCATTTCTAAGAATCCTTTACTTTTTGTCTTGTCTTATAATAACAAACTGAAGAGTCACAAACCAGAAAAAAATCTGTCAAGATAAAACTTTATGAAAATTCAATCAAAATTTACAAATTGATTTGAAATGAAAACATCAATTAATTGCATAGTATATGAAAACAGCTCATGATAAAATGTGATACTACACATTTTATCACTACACGGAGATATTACATTATATATGTTGGTTCTATCTACATCTTCCCCAAAGTAATAAAAAAATGTCATTTCTTGCATGATATATGAAAGACAACGGAGAAACCAAAAACAACTGTTCAAATACCAAAACCCTATATTCAAAATTCACTAATACAACATAACTTACACATACACAACACGCACACAAACAAATTATTTTTTGTGTTTCACTTTTTCTAGTCTACGTTCACAAACACACATTAATTTTTACTAGAATAACTTTAATTATATTGATTTAAGTTACAATCAGATCTTTCAAATAATGGCAGACTAACTACACTTATCAACTATAATTAAAGTAAGTAGACTTTATCAAAACCTAGTTTTATTTTTCACAATGTGAAACTAATAAAATTCAATTTTTTTTTATAAATATAGAATAAAATTTGAAAAAATTAATTCTAAAAATTGGGATTTTTTTTTATCTCAATTCTATTTAAAAAAAATTACAGTCACTGAAATTATCAGAATGTTATTCTTTATTAATAAAAATCCAATCAATTTTTTTATTATACTATTAATAATAATATGAAGTTTTTTCAATCCATTTTTAATTGCTGAAAATATATGGATTTTGTTATATAGTGATTTTAGGTGATGAAAATGTTTTTCAAAAACTCATCTTATAGTAATTCTAAGTGATAATCTTATTTCTTGTGTTGTTCCTTATAATTGTTTTAAGTTATATAATTGTCTATAATTTTTTCGAAACTATGTATGATATAGTATTTGATTTATAGTGTTGTAACTAGGATTTGAGAGGTGAACAGCCTGCCAAATTTTTTTGAAATAAATGATAATTTTCACTTTCTAATTATCATTCAATATGATGTATGTTCCATTCCTATTAAAAAATCATCTAAAATCTTACTTAACTACCTCGCATTAGAATCATTTTTCAAGTTCATAAAATTCATCATCATTGTTGCACATAATTTTTTCTAATTTCTTACATTGATTTTATCCTATATCATCTCCATATAAACGCCTTGATTTACAAATGTCTTGAGATAATTATGTGTGCGCATCTTTCATGAAGTATACATGATGTTGGAAGTGCTAATCACTGCGATTAATCATGAATCATAACTTATCATTGAAGATGTTCTCACAAATCGAATGAATCTCTTAGATTGTCTGTCATTTCAAATCATCCATACTCAATGTTTTTTATCACTTATGGAAATATTAGAATGATAAGTTTATCCAAATTTTGCAATCACAAATCAAAATAGTATTGCACACTTATCAAGATGCAGCTAATAAGTCAAGAAAATAAGAAACTGTCTTTTTCTTGATTTTGATGCTACTAATGACACATGTTCAATATTTGGAATGTAAAGCAGTTCCATTCCAAAACTGAAATCTTTGAAAATGCACATTCCACAAATCAACACTATAAACGACCCTCTTGAGCATTCGGTGAAATTATTCAATCCTTTATGCAAATTGATTAAACGCTTGTTTGGTGCGCAAACAAAGTAGGGAGAAGGGTGTACTCAACCGTATCACGCTTTTCATTTGGAAAAATCTCTGTGGTGCAAAAAATCGAGAAAATTAGTTGATGGGACTCCGGGTAAACTTAAAACACTTGATGGTACCAACATGTTTCATTTTCCCATGATTCCCTGCAGGCCCACGTGATGTTCCAATACTATCTAGGATTATTTCGAGTAGAACATGAAGTCCCGGCAAGACCATATCCGGAGTAAGTCATGGTGCGAACTAGTCGCCAAAATACTCTGGCCGACAGTGGCGGACACTCTCCACTCTATAGAGCAAATCAGTAGATTATAAGAACATAGAATGGGTCCCATCGGGTAAATTGAACCCTGATGGGTCCCTTCAAGACGGATTAAGTTTCGAAGGGTCCCATCAAATAATTTCCTCGCAAAAAGTCCAGCATTGCATTGATAATCGACCATTTTCTATGCCTTCACTCCAGGAGATGATACTTTGTACCTTCAGTTTCTTGTGCTTGAGTCAGATACGTTAGGGGACTTGACTCAAACACTCTTTCTGAGGCTTCTTAAACTTTGAACCATGCGATCCAAGTTAGATCTTGGCCAAATATCTGAAAAAAAAAGGAGAACTGTGATGGTCCTGTCCTCGAATATCTGGACTCGTCCTCTGCCTCGTTGGGACACCTGAACAGCAATTTTCGAGTCTCTTGCTACTGAAAGAGAATGGGCGCCCTTTAGTTGCTGGTACTTCAGGAAGACATTGGTGAGGCAAGCCGTGAGATGTCACTATCAAAATCTGTTTACTAGCTCTGTATTTTACACGTAAAGGGAAAGCGAATGTTGAACATCGATTTCATTGGAAATGATTGTATGCGAAGATGCATGTGATCTCTCAAATTTTTTCGAAGCAACTTATAAAAGAGCTGATGATGCTGAAATTTTCGTCTGAAGGTATGGTCTTCCGTGAAACTCTCGAATTCAGGTCTTCAGGTCGTTCAGGAGGAATCCGCAAGACGAGGACAAGGAACTTTCTTTTGTGTTGATGCTGACCATTCTGGGAAGGCCTCGAGTGGGCGAAGCCAGTTGGAACAGCCGTTGAATCAATTCGTTGCTGATGTCGTTAGTAAGACGAAACTACCACAGGTGAGTGCATCAAGAAACTACGTATGGCAAACAACTCACGGGCTGCTACGCACAGATTCTTCGGTTTTTCTTCCTCTTATTATCTGTATTGTCACTTCAAACTGCTTCCAGTATCTTGTGCATTTTATCCATACCACAATGAATGAGGTAAGGTTCAAATACATACCACGAAATGAGAGGGGAAGAGGGCAGTTGAATCCTCGTCCAATTATCCTTTTACAAAACCCGGCTATCAAGTACAAGATCTAGTGGGTGGTCCTAGTATGCATATAAAAATTCAGGCATGAAGTGAAAGGGTAAGGGTGTTGATTAAACAGAGCGTAATAATGATAATCTTGGGAACTAGAATAACCACGAAGTTGCTCCTTATGTAGATTCCTGATGATGTGAGCAGGAAAGAAGGAGGGCTTGACTTAACGAGGTGTCATCTTTGCTGGCATTGACAGGCACAGTACGCGAACATGAATGTTAGGCGAAAGAAGAAGAGAGGCCTTGCTCTTCTAATTGGCATGGAGAAGGGAAGGGATGGTAGTGAGGCTGACCGGAACCGAGTGGAAAGCATGGCGGATTATCTGCATTTTGTTTATACGCTGATTATAGACAGAAAAGCAAGTGATATTCAACAGGTAGTTGAAAGCATACTGGCAAAGGATGTAAAAGAAACAGATGAATGCATCGTTTGTTGTGTGGATGCTCACGGAGCGGTTTCAGATGGAATACACTTCATTTATGACAACGAGGGCGATGGTATCGAACTTCTTTCTAAGATATTGAAGCCCATTAGTGACTGCGACCTTCTCAGCAGGGAAGCCGAAGGTGTTTGTGGTGAATTCTTGTCGTGAAATCCGTGGAGGGACTGAACCTACGAGCAGTAATAGTCAGGAACAGAATGATCTTGAAGGCAAAGAGGATTGTTTGCTCATGTATTCTTCCAAACTGAACACCCAGTCCTATAGAGCAGAAACAGGTTTGACAAAAGGTACACTTTTCATATCTGAGTTGACTTATCACATTAGTCTGTCATACCAAACGACGGATGTGCAGGATATCTTGAAGAAGGTCGAGAAGAAAGTTCAAGAACTTGCAGCAAGAATGAAAGTCGATCAGTGCCCTGTCATGTACTCCTCTCTCAAAAAGAGGCTTTCCTGGCGCCTGAAGTAAAACTAAGCATCCTGTCCCGGCATACTTACAATCAACACACGCGTAGATGCATCAATGATAATTACCCTGTACTAGGAGAGCGTCTGAGACGAAACATGCGAGACAACAGGTTGAAGTGCTGATATGGTTCTATGACGCAGGAAGACATTCCTCGCTGACGTTTCTACACGCAGTGATGTGTTTCCCATGACTTGTTTGGGTGCAATAGAGGAGCTCATGGCCCTTGCTTTTGCCAAGTTGCCTTCTTTCATAAGAGAGTCCCGTTTCGAGGTACGAAAGAATTCTAATTGCCGCATAGCCTTACGTCTAGTATGTAGGCAGCTGTTATTACCATGGTGGGTTTACTATTCTATTGATTAATCTGCCAATGGAATCACAAAAGAGTCCTTAGAAGGCTTCTGTTCTGGCATCTAGAATTGGGTGGGTACGTGCATGATCAAATGTAACAACTAGAGCCACTTACATGTCGTATGCAACTAGTGCAGTTTAGTGCAATCTCGAATTGTTGTTAGAGACGAGTTCTACTGTTATAGGACAAAGTGGTTGAAATGTCATTCCTTAGAGTAGATTTTAGCATTAGTATTCTGTATTTTAAAAATGTAAATAATGACAATCTCATCGTGATCCATCTTGACATCGATCATGAACATAAATAAAAGAGAAATTTGCTTTATATAAGGAGGTTTTGAAAGCACGTGACCCGATTGCAAAAGCTCATCTTATTGTTTGTATGCAAACATTCTCTAACAAACGAAGGTGTATTTCAGATGGGTCATCCATTCGAGTGGTGATCTCTTATGTGTGGGTAAAGAGTTATATTACTCAAATTATCAAATCAATGCAGAGAGTTTCACGGCATGTATGAAATCTCACTTGCATCGGGTAGAGAGGTAGTGTATCAACTTGCAAGCAAATTGGGTAACAATTTGGTAGGTAATAAGTATGTCATTCATGAAGAGTATATTCTGCAAAATACTTTAAATGTTCATGAGTGTTGAAAGGAAGTGATGAGTGAAGAGAATTTCTTATGTGCAACTATAAAAAAACAATTATTTGTTGTATGTAATACATATTATATATAGTAAATATATATAATGAGCTGACAAAAAGTAATTAAAGATATAGATGAGTGAAAACTAACTCGGAGTTCACAAATCATATGCATATCTTTGACAAACATGATACGAAAAATATAGTTGATGCTCTATGACAATCCATTCTAATGCTATACAGAATGATTTATATTTAGTGCGAAGATGATGAAAAGAATAAATGTAGGAAGTGTAAGAAATGAAAGAAGTTCAAATGAAGAAGAGTCAAATATAGGTATGTGACATAGATAAATAACAAAATTCTTGAAGCGCAAAGCGCCATTTTTTCCGAAGGATTAAAGTGTTGAAGTGCCAAACAGTCAAACTACTGAAGCGCCGAACTTGAAAAGCCAAAATGTAGAAATGGAAGAGAGCCGAAGTAAAAAAAGCGACGAGTCATCAAAGTCATAGTGCGAAAACAGAATTACAGAAATGCAAAGCCGAAGACAAAGTTTGTAACCTAAACAAAAAAGTGCCGAAATGCCAAAGGCGAAGTGCAAAGTCCAAAATACAAGCTTGCTACAAACGCCAACATATGAAAGGATCAAGTAAATGCTCACGGACGCTTGAAAATCCGCGAGAATTTGAATGTGGAAAGGATAAGGATCTCCGCGTCAATACCCACTATTCTGAGGGTAACGCGAGTGAGATTATGTTACGAGAACCTGAGATTACACTTTGTCGAATGCTGAGACTGAATGGAAAATAAGCTTAACTTTTCAATACGGGTTCAATTAGTGACTAGTGGAATGGCTATATAGAGAGCTATTCCTCACTATATTTGTATCAATTTGTAGATTTCAAAATGACTTTCTCGAATACCGCAACTGCAAAAACAAGAAAAGTGTCATAACAAAAGTGATATTTTGCCCAAAAATGCAAATGTAGTGCTTGTAATTTTTGCATTACACATATTTTTGTTACATAAGGTCATTCTAATGTATTTTCTTTTTCCAAATTATGTATAATGATTTGTTGCTGCATCATCTCTGTCATTCTTTTATAATTATATAGAATTCACAAAATTCACTCCATTTGAATGTAGGTTTTAAGATAAATAAGAGGCTTTATAGCACAAATTTAGTCATGTAATAAATTTAAATATAGTAAACTTACCCAATTACAATTTTTTTCCAAATTTCTATTATGATGGCAGGGATAGGACGCAATGTTTGCTATAATGTTCTTCACATATAAGTTTTTTTCCTTCCATATTGTCCTTAATGTATAGACAGTGTTTGGATTTGACTCTGGCGTATTATTGTAGATTTATTCCGAAACTTTCAGTACAACAAAGTATCTCCTGTCTTGATTAATTTTAAGATTGCTAATAATTTTTTTAATTTGTATATAGAAATATCCATGATTCTAATTTATGACATATAATATGTCACATTAAAAACGTATGTGTTAAGACAGATTAAAACTCACTAAAATAGATTTAAACTCACCCGATGTGTATCTGGTTTGTTAGGTGGTTATGTCTTCGGCGAGGTTTACCCGACGATGTGCATGTGCCAGGAAGTGCATGCGACGAGCTTTCCTCGAATCGTGTACTGCCTCGTACGACATCTGGATTTGCTCGCCACCTTCCTATGTGGCGATCGATGCTCAGCCTCTCACTGAAACGGGGCAGCTGTACTGTCCGGAGCTACTTTGGCTGCCAAGTCGGACTCACCGGCTGAGAAAGTTGCGGGGTCTGTGATGGAAATGTGAGTGTGCTCGGGATGCGATGTCTATGGTCAGCAACTTGAGGTACTGATACGCGTTGGAACAGGCTGTGTTACTTCGTCGTCATCGATTGTTCTCAATATGCGGCGGCATTGATAGTGGTTAGAGGGAGGAATAGGCTTTTCTGATTACTGGAGCATGTTAACCAGTAGAAGCTGGAATCGGAGCTAGAGGACAACGAGGACAAGGATCCGCCGAAGAGATTGCTCAGTATTCATGGTACTTTTGTGATAAATTTTCTGCAAAGACTCAGTATGACATTGCGGGGTCGTCAACGAACTGAGATCGTGAGAAGTTGCTAGAGTAGTAAACATGGGGACATTAGATAAAGCTTTGGCTGAGAAGCTGTCAGGTCTGTCAGTAGGGACAGATTTCATTCCTGACACAGATGTGGTAAAAGATTCTGGATCAAATCGAAGGATAGGCGGGATGCATCTTGAGGCAGACTTCGGTGGAGAGCAAGACTGTGGCATTGATTCCAGGGGAGCGATGTCGGGGGTAGAAAGTTCTTGCGAGGAAGTGGAGCAAGAGTTAACAGAAAATTCATATCAACCATCTTGCTCCAACTCGATGTTGCAGGAAAGGCAGGAAGAGGAAGCTGCTCTCTATACTGAACACTCCGATGGCCCTCCAGACGGGTTTCTCTCCATCTTACCATACGCAGATTTGAAATCTCTTCTCACGCTCGAGAGGGTAAGCAAGCAAATGCGCATCGCAGTGAATGATGTTCTCGTGTGGAGGAAGTTAGAGGTTGAACCCCCTCTAAACAGGGCCCTTACAGATGACATTCTTATGACCCTTGTCAAGAGGGCAGGTGGATTACTGAAGAGTATGAGACTCGTCACATGTTTAGGGATCACTGATGAAGGATTAGCCAATGCGCTATCACTCTGTCCCCAGCTTGAGAAGGTTAGCAACATCTCCTGCCGAAACTTCATTTTCTTCTATCTGCAGTTTCTGCCATCAACTTTGTTTCTTACATGGTTTCCATAGCAGCTTACTCCTTCTCCAATTTCTTGCAGCTGGAGGTCCCCGGATGTACAGGGCTCAATATTGATGCCCTTGTGCATACGGTGGAGCAGCAATGTGCAATGAGTCGTTCGAAAGGGATGTGCGGTATCAAACAGTTGCGAATCCGTGGAATTCTTGAAATCCATGAGCAGAGTCTGTTTGCTCTGAGAGATATGATGTTGAGCAGAAACGGACACCAGTTACCAATCACTTGGCCTGCTTACCTGTCCTCAACTACCATTGATGACGATCGAGCTATCGATGTTGAGATGTGTCCCAGATGCGACTCTCAATATGCGACGGTTGTGTTCGACTGTACGAGGAAAAGTTGTCAGAATGCAGCAAGGGTTGACCCCAGCAAAGCTTGCCGGGGTTGTTTCATGTGTTTGCCGAGATGTAGTGGGTGCGGTACTTGCTGTCTGGAAGACGAGGATTTTGAGAGTACGTGCTGCATATGGGATGTTTGTTTCAGCTGCTGGGCGCAGTCCCCCAAATGCGCAGAATGTAACACCGCCTTTTGCTGGAAGCACAAGAGGGATTACATGGAGGGGACCATTCATAGCGCCTTGTCGGGGATATGTGATAGGTGCGCACAAGAGGGATTTCATGGTGGGAACCATTCGTAGCGCCTAGTCGGGGGTATGTGAGAGGTGCGCAAATAGTTTGGAAATATCCCTTTTGGAAACATCCTTTGATGACTACTAGACGAATTGTAGCATTGCTAGAGTTGAAAAAACTTCCTTGTAGTCCACATCTTTCTCATGTGGGAAACCTCTAACCACCGACCTGGATTTGAATTTTTATCTCATCATCTGTTGGATTATCCTTTAGCTGGTACGTCCACTTGCAATCGATTAACGCTGTAACCTAACTGCAGTCGCATGCAACCGCAAATCGGCTACGGCCAGGACAAGTGGTTACTGCGTCCTATCCAGCCTAGGAAATTCAAAAATAAAATCTCCATGAAACTTATATAAATTAATTAAACGTATCATAGTTTATTGTACATTTACGTTCTAGTATTGAAGAAATCATCTTGGAAATGATTTTTATAGAAAAGGAGAGTATAATTATATGAAACTTGTGCGTGAATTCAGATTTATAGATAAAAGGCCCTCGTTCAAGTGCGCGAGTGTCATCGAGAATTTTGAGTCGTTTGATGACGACAAGAAGAAAATATCCCATGATTTGAGCAACAGTAATCTGTAGTATCAAGTGATTTCGTTTACACCTAAGACTCGGCCATTGAGTAATAAACTATGACAGCGCATGTATCAAGTGGCCTTGAAGTTCATTGATGAATGTGTGTGCATCGAGGTACTAGTGGATTTGAATGGCAAAATGCAAGTCAAACAGGTGTACTTGAGCGCCTACATCAAGCCCACTTGCTTCACTGTTTATGTATACAACTCTCGGGAAGTCATGTCGTCAATGATCACACACCTACTCGCGTGTGGCTGTTGCAGCTTATTACTTTGAAGTACCAGAAAGGTACTACATACCGACTCCGCAAAGATCAGCATGACCAATTCTCTCTTCAACATGTGTGCATGAGATATTCATCCGTTTGTATCGGTGGAAGGCAAGGGATTTGGGGAAGGCCATCCAAAGAGACTCGGAGATCTGTTTTGCATGCAAGACGACGTTGCTCTCGGAGTACTTGTTGCAGTTTTGTCATACCATCAAGTGCAAGACCTTGATCCACTATGACAAGAGCATCCTCAAGCTCTAGACGTTAGACGTTAGATCACATGATAAGATAGTCTTTTGAAGACTTAAGCACAATAATCTATACATGATAGAGGTCAATAACATTTGTAGAGAAGTTTATTTTATCGTATCTTGACTTGAGATGTCTCATGTACGTCATTCTAGACTAGTACACATGAGTGACAGGTACATGTCTCTCCTTGACAAAAGAAAGATGCTATCTGGTTTGGATAAAGTTAACTTGACGTTTTGCAAATATTGTAACATGAGTAACGAGCACCGACAAGACTTTGATGTTGGACTTCAGAGTTCCAAGGAGTTATTTGAGTATATGCACAGAAATGTGTAGGGATACTCTCATATTGCTTCACTCTCTGGACAGTTGATGATCACTCAAGGTATGTGTGGATTTATTTTTTCACACACAAGTCTTGGATGTTTTCAACTTTCAGAAGTTGACGGACTCAAGTTGAGACTTAGACTAGACACATTGTGAAATATTAGCGCATGAATAATGACGACAAGTATACTTCTGAGTATTTTCAAAGAGTTACTGCAAAGAGAAGGGAATTACTCGCCATCTCATCACGGTTTATACTCCGCAACAGAATGTTGTTACTGAGAGTTTCAATCCAACAGTGTTGGAAAAAGTACTTAATATTTTGAGACAATTAAATTTACCATGTGAATTTTGGACCGAAACTGTCAACACCGCAGTTTATTTGGTAAACCTTTTATTTTCTAGTGCGATAAATTTCTAGCACAAAAGTATGGCTGATTACAGTCGTTTGAATTCTTTTGGTTGAATTGTTTATCTTTTCATACCCAAGCAAAATAAGACTAAATTAGATCTTACATCCAAGAATTGTCGTTTTCTTGAATATGCTAGTGATGTGAAAGGTTATAGGTTATCGGATCCGGTTGCATGTAAAATTATTGTCAGTAGAGATGTTATTTTGGTTAGGAGATTCACACAAGGGAAAGGGTACACCATTGGATTAAGAATCGGATGGCATAAACTATCCAAAGAACAATTTACGGTTGGCTGGCCCTAGGAATACACCTTCCGACTACCGTATCCTTGATAAATCTACCGTCTTTAGCACCAAGAATTGTATATATCATATATACGGATTCTTACTATCAAGATCATATATATATAATGTTTTCTTGTGTCTTGTAGTCTGTAGGCGCATTCCTCCAACCAAACTTGCATTTCCTAAATTATTTGCATAATAACCTCTAAATACATTTAAAGTAAACATCTAGGTACATCAACAAGTTCTTGAATATTTTTTCATTGGATAGTTATCTTGTTCAAAAACATACTCTATGGGGCGTGGACATATGAAATATACCTTGTTAAACCAATGTAAAACACTCGTAAATAGAGAGAATAGAAAATGGTGTCACATGGATATAAAAAAGAGAGAAATTAGCAACAAAGGTTTCTTTGATTGTTCAACTCAAGTTGACTTCACCTTCGCTAAGCACTAACATTGCTGGTCATTTCAATGTTTTTTTATATTGTCAATCATCTCAATTGGCTTGGAATCACAGGTCACATGATGTATGCTTAAAATAGTGCATTCAGTAATTTTTTTCCGTAGAATGTACATGCGTGAAGATTGAAAATATTCCTGATTGAAGTGAATGAAAGCAAAAAAAATTGTATAATATATGCATAAACATAAACATATGTAAACATATTCCACGGTTCATTCAAAGAGAGAAATATTCAATAAAAAAATATTTAGAAGATAATATGTTCAAAATATTTTCACCATGAATTCTATGACTTTGTGACTCTATAAGATTGTTTGAAATTGATATGTAACTTGCATTAATAAATGCAATAAAAAATAAGTATATCACATATGATTGATCTTGAATTGATATAAAATCTGAATGAAATAAATTTAATCATAAAATTCAAATTACAATGCAATAGCATAACAACATATTAGAGATTCAAATCTTGTTGAGTTTATAAAGCTCATTTTATTAGAACATTCAAAAAATCATCAATTAATGAATATGTTTTTAATAGATAATTTATTAAAATTTTTCTAATAAATAAATCATATATATTTATATTATTCATTAAAATGGGTTTTATATATAAATATATAGAGTAGTTTCTATTTTATTGTCTCACAAATATTTTAAAATCAAAATTTATCTTCTAAATACATATGTGTATATGTGTGTATACAAAATATATGTTGATGATCATATCTTGATGTTGTGATTTATTATATATGACAATCATAGAAATGTATAATCAAAAGCTTACCAAGAATATTTTATTTTTAATTCATAAAACATTTTATCACAATATTAATATTCAACTTATAGATAAATTATCATCAATTAATAATAAATAAAAAATGAATTTTTTTGAATTTTAAAATATCTTACATGATGAAATTATTGTTAATCTACAAGATATGATGAAAAAAATTTAATTCATTAATAAATTTTGATTTTTGCAAATGATAAATATAACAAAATTCAATTAAATAATTTATAACTAATTCTTCTTAATTTTTTATTTTATTCTTTCTGATCTTTTTTATTGAAAAATCATTATTTTTTAAATAATTACGTTCAAAGTACTTTGAATAATTTATTTTATTTTATTGATACTATTTATTTCAAATTTTTTTTATTAAAATCCAATAAATTTATTGAATTCAATCTTCATAATTTAAATTTATAATCATATATTATAATAAAATTAATTTACAAATTCACTATGAAATTGCATAAAAGATTAATGTTGATTTCAATAAAATATTTGAAAACTATTTTTTTAACTCAAATCATTATTTTGATTAATTAAAGTATCATATCATATTATGCATATAGATATTAAATTAAAACAATCTTGAAATATCATTAAATTTGAAATTTTTTTAATTATCTGAATATTTGATAAATTTCAAAACAACGTATTTGCAACTTAGACAATTTCAAATATTATATTATATTCTACAATTCAAAGTTTCAAAAATAAAAAAGTAAATTATAAAATATTACAACTTGGATGAACATGAATATACAATCTATCTTTACAATCTATCTTTTTAGACTCACATCAATCAATTCTTTTACCTACAATAGTAAATTTCAGTTTAAATTATCAATGAAAAAATTTCTTCATGTGAGTGTGTTGATAATTTTATTAAATGATAAGATATGATTATATGATTAGAAGTTTATTATGAAAGTAAAGTATAATATCTCAAATGTCTATAAGTATGTAATGCATGAAGTGACATATATGAAACAACAAAATTTGATCTGGTATGCATTGTAATTGATTATATTTAGTGCATGAATACATGATGATTATCAATTATCATATGTGATAAATTATCATACATATTTTTCAGCTGTTTAGATGAATGTCATAATTAACAACTATGGCAATAACTTAAAATTTCTAAATTTAATAATATGGAATAATTTCAATAAATTGTATTTTTATTGAAAAAATAGGATGGTAGAAACAAAAAATTTTACAAATATTTTTTTGAAAATTATTTAATAATATTTTTTTTAATTTCTATAATTTTATCAATTTAAAAATCAAAAGTAAATAATATTATACATTAAAAAAAACATGCACAACTATGATCATGGTATATACAGATAACTTGATATGGATTTTTTTAAAGCAGTACATATTTCAAGACATAATTGTTATTGGCATATTTGTGAATTGGTTTTATTTCTACACAAAGGATTCATAAATTTTCTATTGAAGTCATTTACTTTTATTTTATTTGACATTGAAATTTACTGTTCAAATAAAATACAAAGAGAACAAGCAATTCCAACCAGATTAGTATACAAATATTTTTGGATGAAAAAAACCACGTTCAATGGCTTGTAAATAATATATAATCTAGATTGTGATAAACATATGATATAATCATATTTATATGCACATGTCAAATTTTATTAGTATTACTCTATATTAAAGTGAGTCTATTTCTATACAAGAGAGCTATTTAAGGTTTTTTCTGACATAAACTTGAAAGTTTTCAGCAAAGTATGTGTGTATTTGTGAAATAAATTATTATTCAGAAAAAAATTCAATGAAATATATAACTTAGAGAAATTTTTTTAATAAAATATTATTACTAAAAATCAATATGATAAAAACACTTAAATATTTACTGTTATTTCAATGAATAAATTGGAATTTAAAACAATAAAATTTATTATACTCAAGCATTTATTTATTTCTAAATTTTAAAATTTTGATTTCTAATTAGCAAAATTTAGAAAACTTAAATTCTTTTCATTAATTTTAGATTGAAAAAATTCTTATTATGAATATTTAATTTTAAAATAATAATTACAATAATTTAATATTATTGAATTCTTTTTTAAAGTTTAGTTACTTTGTTCAAAAAAATTTCAATTTTAACAATTCAAGTAATCTAAGTTTATTTCTAAAAAAAAATTTAAAAAATAAAATAATATGAGATGATTGATTGATAACTTGAAGGATAAAAATTAAAAAAACCATTTATTTGTAATGAA